GCTTGACTGGCAATGTCAGAAATTGTTGACCTGAGTCCCCTACTGCTCAACATAACACCATGGCTTTACTTCTTATACTTCGTTTTTATACCTTTCTGCTGGATGGTTAAGACCAAGATAAAGCAAGACCTATGCAACAAGAGTTGTAGCTTTTGGGTCTGGCTTTATCTGGTATTTATCTATTAGGTAGACATTTTCAGGGTTAAACCTTTCTGCCAAGGCCTGCGTTGTGACTTTTATGTGCTGAGTGGTCGAAACAGTCCCCGCTAGTCAGGTCGCTGTAGTGTTTTGCCTATTTGTTTTGCTTTTTTAATTGTTTTTGAGACAGGGTCTCACTGTGTAGTACAGTCCAGGCTGGTCGTAAATTCATGATGTGGCCCAAGCAGGCCTCGAACTCAGAGCAGTCCTGCCTTCAGCATCTTAGGTGCCAGGGTCACAGGCATGCACCACAGCGCCTTGCCAAGCTCCTTGTAGTTGTTCTGGTAGTGAGATTTGGCTAAAAAAAGTAATAATAATAATAGGTTGAAATGCAGCGAGCTGCGAGGTATTTCAGGAGACAGCAAAAAAAAAAAAAAGGTGCTAGGAGCAGTGTCAGGGGTAAGGTTGTGTTGTTTTCCTGGCCTGAGGGGACCACTCTCAGCACCATTTATGTGGCCTCTACTGTCTGCCAGATGCCTTACTGACTTTTGGGGAATCTCAGTGCTTTTATTCAAATTCAAGAGCATCTTGCCACTTTCTCTGCTTGGCACACGTTGGTCTGCCTCAAGTGTATGCAGCGTTGAGAATACCTAACGTGTGGCAGTACGAACTTTGATGCAGTCCTTACAGCTCTCAGTTGTGTACTTTAATCATGGCTGGCTTCGTTCTTTCAGGCAATGATTTGGGCAGTGATTTATGCCCAAATTAGGCAAAGTAGTCAGTGTTTGAATGAATTGTTCAAGTGTGACCTCCCAGTCGGGGTCGGATCTGCCACTCAGAATTAGAGCTGGTGAAGTAAGCTGAACATTCGTGTTGTCAGGGAGGTGTGCGGAGGAGAGCGGTGAATCTGGCCATGGAAACGCATGTGGTTGAGAACCGTTGTCCCCAGCGTCTCAGAAGGGTTGGTTCCTAGTAAGGAGCTTGGCTAACTCTAGGATCTTAGAACACTATGAAACACCGTTTAATGTTCTTGTTAATGCTAGCTACCATGTGGCTTAGAGAGTAATCCTGTGGTCCTGCCCTTGTACTTCTCCTTGGCATCTGCGCACCCTAAGCTTCACTGAACTGGGGACTTGGGATTCTTGTTTTGTCATTTATCTTCAGTGCCTTGTACAGTGTTTGACATATATGCATGGTAGTTAAATGCTTCCTGAATAAAAGATTTGAGTCAGATTACCATGAAGTAGTTTAGCTGTTGAAATTGTAGTAATTATTAATAACTTGTTTGTGTGTTTTTCTTTTTTCCAAAACTCCATTTTACAGGATATAAAATTCCTGTCATTGAAAATCTAGGCGCTACCTTAGACCAGTTTGATGCTATTGATTTTTCTGACAATGAGATCAGGAAACTAGATGGTTTTCCTTTGTTGAGAAGACTGAAAACATTATTAGTGAACAACAACAGAATATGGTAAGTGTGTGCTATTTACAGAATAATTTTTTAAACCTTGGGTGAATATTGTAGTGTGCCTTGAAAAAGTTAAGTATACCCGGTTAAGTGTACAGTTGCATACAAATGCACAGTTGATTTACTTTAGTCTTATTTGCATGTTTTCATAAATCTGCATTTATGTATCTGTAAGTTTCTAATTTAAATGAATTTGGCTTCTGAAGCAATTATCAAGACAGGTCATACTAAAAAGCTACTTAAAATACAACTGTATCTTCACTGAGTATGCCTCATACCTCCTGCTATTCATTTTTCTTTAAGACTGATTTGTAGAGTTTAACTTATTGGAAGTGAGACCTTTATTGACCCTCTCATCGGCTCTGCATAAATTTTATTGAAAAAATAATTAAAGTTTATAGATAATGAGTAGCCAAATACTTTTCGTAGTTTAATTAGTCTCCTCTGGTCTAGTTATGTCTTGCACAAAAGGTGAGCATACAGTAGAATCCCTTGTATTTTCATGCTGCTTGAACAGAATCCTGAAGCCAGGAGTCTCACCCTTTTAGTTTCCACCAGACTTTATGGCAGTGGAAGGTCAGGCAGCATCCAATAGTCATGGGATCTGAAATCATCTACTGCTGTCCATGGCTTTGTGGCCACTTTGACATGGAATGTGCAAGAATTCTCTCTTAGGTGGTCTCAACTTTGATGTGTTATTATCTGAGCAGCTATGTGCTCCTGGTCCCAAACAGACCACAAGAAGTTGGGGTAAAAATGAAAAGCCTTTGTTTAAATCTAACCATGAGGAAGCGGAAGCCTTATCCTGCCACAGATCCTTATCTTACCAAGTTTAGGTGTGCAAGGCCCTTTCATAGCAAGCAACAGAGGGCAGAGGGAATACAGTATAGCCAGAGAAAGCTCCATGCTTATTCATCCCTGCGGGTCTTTTTCTGCTCCCTCCCTTGACTAGAAGCTTGGGGACCATTGCCTGCGTATATTATCCATTCAAATTGAAGAAAAAAATGGCAGTACAGGTCTTTAGCCTGAGGAATTTTGGGGAAGCAGCTTATCTCTAAAAGAAAAAAGCTAAAATTAAAAATTCCATTTCATCCTTCTGGTTACCACCTCAGATCCTTTGAGCACTGATGAAAATAAGTGTCAGTTTACTCTTCACCTTCCTCACTAAGAGCCTTTCTGTTTTACTTTAGTCGTATAGGTGAGGGACTTGATCAGGCTCTGCCGTGTCTCACAGAACTCATTCTCACCAACAACAGTCTTGTGGAGCTGGTAAGTTGCTCAAAAGGAGGTTGAGTTTGGGGATGAGGTTAAAGGTAGTACATGCAAAGATCCAGGAAATTCTCATCCTTTTTTTTTTTTTTTTTTTTTTTTTTCTTGTTATTGTTTTTGTCTTTATTTAGTACAGGGTCTCCAGGGTCTCACTACACAGATTGGACTCGCAGCAATTCTCCTGTTTCTCAGCCTCCCAAACGCTGGGATTATAGGCGTGCATCACCACGCTAAGTCTCAATCGCTGTTTTAGGGTTCCTGGGTGCGGGGCACCCACGGAATGTAGGGGATGGAACACCGGTCAGTGCTGTATTAGTTT